TGCCTGTAGCTGGACTCATCATTGTTTGTGATGCATCCCACCACCGCTGTATTAACAATATGTAATCAATCAATTCCAATTGAAATATCAAAGCAAATTTATTTCATCCATCCATCCATTATACCCACTTCTTCCATTTTGGGTCACGGGGATCGCCGGTGCCCATGTCCACCAATCACTGTGCGAGGGGCAAGCTGCAAATTTATTTGAATACTGTAGTGATGTAGGGTTAGTTAGCGTAGGAGCTCCACTACAATCAATATTTAATGACGGGTTCTCTCTTTTTCGAGCTACTTGACAGATATGTGAGAGAGATATTGTGTTTAGAAGTACAGTGACGTGAGATGGTCTAAAAACCAGTGACATGAGACGTTAATTTTCTTTGACCCATCAAAATGAATGTGGTCATTTATTAACAGAATCAAAATTTAACATCACAACTTGTACACTTGATTATTCTGATTGAAGGCAATAACACAGCTTAATTAATGAGCTTCACAATGAGGAATCATACGGCCATGATTTCTCACTTGCAACTAAAATACAACAGACATTTCTGAAAATATCTGGATTAATTACTGGCAAGATAGAAGAGTTTTAAAGATGGGAAATGAAGGAGTTTAAATGGAGAGGAAAAAGATGGATGAGGATGTATGTCTGTAGACCAGAACAACACGCTCCTTTGAAGCGCAGTTCGCCCGCGGTACACTGGTAGTGAAGCTCATGACGACTCTTTACCTTTGGCGGAGGATGAATCCGCGGCGGTCAAGAGGTCCCTGGTACGCTGCCTTTCAGCGTCTCCTCAGGGCGGCTGCGACTCGGCAGAAGTCGTGAGAACTAGTTCCACAGAACAAACCTCCTCAGAAGTTATGAAGTTTTCACCGGGTAGAGTCACAGCGAGGCATCGTGGCTCCTACAGGAACTCCAGCCGAACTTCATCAGTACCAGAAGAACTTAACAGGACTCTGAGAAGACTCAGAGGAACTCCGAACTCCTTCTGCTCTCAGAACTCCGGTTCATGTCTCAGAACTGACTGGAACTAGGAAGTGTCGACATTTAAAGAGTTCTGTTCCGGTCCCTTCTGGGAGTCCTGATTGGTTGAAAGAACCAACAGGGGTGTGGCTTTAGTGACGTAAGAGGGTTACTACAAGTCAGAAAAACAGCGGAGATGTTTAAGAACAGACAGAGAAATGTTTTGGCGAAGTGGGAGGAAACAGGTGCCAGCTTCTCTGTTTCTGTCTGAGAGGTTTAAAAACATGACAGTTAGTTCCAATAAACTTGTTTGCGACTGTCTCCGACTTTTGACCGACATCACTCCTTTCTCATTTCAGACAGAAGATCAAAAAATGCATAATTACTTTGTAACAGACATTAACTTGATTTCTACTTTGAATGAGGATTAAAAATCATTAATACTGTTTCACAGTTGATTTAAAGTGAGTAGTTCACTTCAACATTTAAAATGGTTTGAACTAAACACACTTTTGATTATCAAGACATTGTAAAATAGTAATGATAACATAAAAAGAGAGTGTTCTTTCAATTGATTAGTGCAGGCCACACTTAGAAAGTCTCTGGATGAGCTTAATTTGTGTTTCTGGACTCAAATCAATGAAATAACAGTTTCTGTCCCATGAAGGTCCTCAGGGTCAGGTTTTGACCTGAGGCTTAGTTCACTACACTGCTGACATCTAAAGAAAGGGTGTAGTCTGTTAGCACCAGTAATGATGGTTCTGCACCAGTTCTTGGTTACTGAAGGAGTTGAGGCCGGCTGCTGTTCTACGCTCAAGCTCCATTTAAGATTTGCGTCACTATTGAAAGAAGAAAATCACGGATGAAGGCGGCTGCAGTGAGTCTTTGCAGGATGTTGAAGTCCGGTTTGCAAATGAAAAGTGCTGGACATGAAAGCGATGTCGTCCTCTAAGGTCTGTGGATCGTGTGCAACTTGATTTGTTGCCTAATGGTTTAAGAGGAGGACTGGGACAGAAGAGCGAGAGGGCCAGATGTGCTGCAGTGGACTGAATCTGGGACGATTGAAGCGAGGGCTTCAGTCATGGGGAGCGAGCTCAGTTAGCTGCACAAAACAAGAACAAGCTCAAAAATAGAGACATTTATTAAAAAAAACAACATCTATGCTAATTTAAAAAATGGGCGACACAAAAGAAATGAAGCAAATTCAAATGTGTTCCCATTTTCTCTGCAAGCTGCCGACTCCCTGAGAGCAATCGCACCGACGTGAGAAGCTCCACTTTAACTTGTGTCTCCTCCAAGCCTCGATTAGAAGCAGGTTTATAAGCTAGAACCCCTTTCCCTGAGGGGAGGAGCGGGGGAGAAGGAGATAAAGCAAATTACCATCGAAACTGTGCGCCGTGTGTGAAAGTGAGAAACGCTGCATACAAGATCGGCAGTGGATAAAATGGAAGGAAGTCTTGTATTGAAGGTGGTAATTATAGAAAAGCTTTGAAGGTGTTCTCCTAAGGATTAGGGTTTTAATCCCGACAGTAGTGCTAATTGCAGCCTGTGCTAATTGTCAGTTGTTTTAGAGCCGAGCGGCCGGCAGGGCCATGGAAACAGGATGTGTGTGACACTTTCAGAAGTTGTGGTCCGTTGAGACGGATGATTGATGGGCTGTCAGTCACAGGTCAGGAACAAGCTGCTCCGGGCCAGAAGTGACCAGCAACTGCAGACCGGCCCAGCTTTCAGAGTACACTCAGAAAAGAGCCGAAAGAACAAAGCACAGATGAAGAGAAGGAAAGTTGATATTGAGAAATAAAGGTTTTCTTTTCTATAACGAGTCAAATATTTGAACCAAGTGATGAAATTCAGTCAGGAAGGAGCGCGAGCAGTAAATCTTGAAGATGAATTAAAGTGTGCAGGTTTTCTGAGGTGTCCGCAGGCGTGGATGTTCGTGAGGCGTTCACTGTCATCCGTTGTTCTTCTCTCCTTTTTCTGCATCTTTCTCATTCCATCACTTCTCGTTCAACAAATCAGAACCAGGTCTCTGTTGTAAAAGAGTCCTCGAGGCTCAGTGGGATTAACTTGTAGAAATAAAGGTTGAATGAAAAAATCAGAACGTTCAGCTCTCTCAGGACTATTTTTGGTATTGGTACAACTTTAGCTTTTTGAACTATTTAGCCTTTTCTGCCATTTTTTTCTCATAGTAAATGAATTGAGCTCATTTTACATCCTTCAAATCTTTAATGTGTTTACAGCCTTTCACTGCTCCTTTCACATTTTGTCCCGCTTCAACTTCTTTCAGCTTTCTGGTACAAATTTAATGGGTTTTTTTTCAGCTACTTTCAGCAAATTTCAGCTGTTTGTTCAGCTGTTTTGTGCTCCTTTTAGATTGTTTCTGCTTATTACAGCATTTTTGTGCTTCTTCTAACTTCTTTTGGCTAATTTCAGCTTGCTATGCTCGTTTCAGCTTGTTTTTGCAAGTTTTAGTTTTTTCTGCTATTTCAGCTACTAATTAGCAGTTTTTATGGTAATTTTAACTTTTTGGGCTAATTCCATATTTTTTCACTCATTTAAACTTTTTTCAGCCTAATTCAGTAAAAAGTGTGTTCTCTCGTTTTCCTTCTGCTAATTTAAAATAATTTCTGCTCTTTAGCTACTTTTTAGCTGTTTTTAGCTAATTTCAGCTGTTTTTCAGATCATTTCTTTTTTTGTGTGATTTCTGATTCTTTCAGTGTAAATGGTCAAAATTCTGCTCTCTCCACTTCCTTCTGGTAATTTAAGCTTCTTTCTACCATTTCAGCTACTTTTTTTTCAATTTCGGCCTCTTTTTTTTAGCAAATTTACTCATTTCTGTGCTCTATGCAAGAACATTTCAAAGGAAATGAGTTTTGTATTTTTCTACATTCCGTTTACTGCGAACCACACAGAAGTACTTTGGTTTCATCTTAGCTGAATAAAGTAACGAGTCTGAACTGGTTTGTTCTCGTGGCTTCACGGAACGAGTCACTTGTTTTATTGATTTCCGTCCTCGTCTACGCAGAAATGTCCCGTTTTTAATTTCGGATTCCTTTAGGTGCGTCTCTCAGCAGGTGCTCCTGGACCGTCACTGAAGACTTTACATGAATTCTGATCGTGGAGCAAAGAGTGTTTAGTCCTCGTCAGTCATGTAATATACCTTAAAAAACTTTTTCTTTTCTTTTATATTCGGTCAAAAAAAAACCTGGAGAAACTGCATTCTGTGAAAAGTCGGGGTGAAAGGTGATCAGGTGATCAGGTGCTGAATGACGGCTGACGTTTGTTCAAACATAATTGTTTAAGCCCAAACAATCAGAACAGAAGCTAAAACCAACAAAATAGGAGCTAAAAGCTAAGATTAGCTCAAATTTAGCTAAAAGCTAAAGTTAGCCAAACTGTTACTGTAAGCTAAAATGATCACATGGTTGCTAAAAACATAGCTACAAGCTAAAATAAGCAAAACCATAGCTAAGAGAAATGTAGTGAGACTAACTAAAAGCTGAGCGTAGCAAAACCACAGCTGATGGCTAATATGAGCTAAATAGTAGCGACAAGCTAAAATTAGCAAAACCATCTGTAGTGAATAGCTAAACGTAGCAATAAGCTAAAAAAGTTTTTAAAAAAAATGGCGTTTATGCTGAAGTAGATTTTAGAAAATGTTTTTGAGGAAACTCGAGCTCTCGGTGCATTTCTACTGAATAATTTTTGTAAATAAAGTAAAAAAAATACAAAAGTTAATAGTCTGAGGTCATGTCACATGACTCCCAACAAGCCGACACTTTGATGTATAAAAATGAAGGCACCAAGTTGTGGAAGTAGTTTGATGGCAACAAATTGTCCAGAAGAAACTAAACAAACATGATGTGAATGCTGACTCAGCTTTTACACCATTAACTGGCCTTCAACTGGACTTTCATACTGGTTTCATGTTCTGTGATGTGTCATGTGCACGTGAGTTGTAACATGTTCACGTTTCCTAGTCACAGTTTTCTTTAGTGTTGCGTCGCCTCCATGTGATCGTTAAAGTGCTGATTGTGTTTCTGCAGAAATCGTCCCCCCGATGCAGAGCATCTCCAGCGGTTTGAAGGAAACCATGAACCCAGGAGATATGGTGCAGGATGCCATCCACAACTTCTCCCCAGCGTATCAGCAGTACACCCAGCAGTCCACTCAGGACGTCACCCAGCCCAGCACCAACGCCAAAGTGGCCGCCGGCAACAAGAGCTCCCTGAAGTCTGACAAAATCATGCTGATTACATCTGATGATGAGTTGTAGGCGTCTGTCCAGCAGGATCCAGCTGTTCGGCCCCTCTCCACCTTCATCTTCAACCTTCTAGAGAATCTCGCAGAGCTGGATTGAATCCAGGTGTTTAAAATTCATCATCCCACTATTTAAAATGGACGTCCTGCTTCTGCCCCGTAATTTAAGCAGAACACGTGGATGAAGATTAACGGTTAGTTTTCTTAGTTTAACTTGTGGAACAGTCCGAGGGCTGATCTGTCTCCATCTTGCTGTGAACATCTGGAAAATGACGCGTCATCTTCACTTCATCACAGAAATGTGAGGCCGTGCTTTTGCTTCACGTCAAGCTGCCAGAGTTTCAGCTGCGTCCCCGCTGACCGTGTTGTTTCGTCAGGGCGCCTCTCCGGCTGTCTGAAGAGCGTGTTCTCCGAGTCCCGTCGCTTTCAAAGAGGACTTGCTGAATGTGCGGCTCCAGGTGGGAGGCAGGGAAGCCAGCCGTGGGGGACAATGGCTCTTCGTGGACCGTTTCTCACATCTGCTTGCTTCAAGTATTTGCTGAGCGTTCCTCTGCACGGTTTCCTGACGAATGACGGGATTTGTTCAAAGACGCTTTAGTTTTGAAGCAGACGATTCAAACTGCACCTCACGATCCTTTGTATCCGCCTGAACTGGGACAAATGACATCAAACTGGTCTCCTACACTTTGGGATATTCTCATTCCTTTTCCTAAAAGCTTATTTAATAGACGCTAACAATTCTAATTCTTTTCAAATATTCTTTATGGTACATAGTTTTATGTGATAAGGTTGTTTCACTATTCCAAAGATTGTAAAACATGGAAGAAAAATGTTTTAATTGTAACATTTTGCATTTGTTCCAAATGTTTAAATTGTGAATGTATTTATTGTGTGAAGTCCCGAACATTCAGAGGAGAGGAACACCAACACGTCACGTGAGCTCCATGCGTGTACAAGTTTTATGAAAGTCCAGAGGAGCAGACGTGACTGTTTCACCTGGATTATTGAGCAGCATCAGGATATTTCAGGTCTGTGGCTTTTTAAAAACTAGTTCTGTCTAATAAATCCAAACTTTTCCTTTTTTATGCCCTCTGTGCCAACGATGGTTGTCTTTCTGCTAAAACTGACATTTGGGTACAAAAATGTCCCAGTGGTTTATTCTGCTCGGCTTGAATGCAAAATAAAAATATGTAGAGACATGACATTTCCTTGAAGATGCAGTGAGAATGCTTTCTGCTGAGGAACTTGCTGAAATGTAGCTGACAAATGGAACAAGCCTAAATTAGAAGCAGAAAGAACACATTTGCAAGAAATGAGCACAAAAATTTGTGATTAGCTAAAAAAAAAACTGAAATTGGCCAAAAAAGCTGAGATTAGTAACAAGAAAAGCTGATAAAGTAAAAAGAGCTGAAAGTAGCTGAAAGGAACAGTTTGCATTTGCACAAGGAAGCTGAAAAAAGTTGAAGCAGAACAAGATGTGAAGTAAAAGGTTGTAACGGATCTAAAGGATATAAATTCATTTTCTATGAGGAATAAAACGTCAGAAAAGGCTAAATATGTCTTGGCACCGTTCATCTGAACAAACTGAACCTTCTCATACATTAATTGCTGAAATAGCTTAAAACTTTCAGGACGGGAATGTCATGAAAAATGTACGGAACGAGATGGAAGTTGTAATAAAAACAGGAAAACGACTCATATGTAACGTATTAACCGATGCGAGTTTAATAAAGGAAAAACCGATGTTACAGTAATTATTAAAAGGAATAATTTACTCCAATCAGAGCAGAAAAATACAGATTTATTTGTACGAGTGTAGTTCATTGAGAAAAACATGTAAAATAAAATAATTTAGGTGTTTTTTTAATAATCTCACACAAATCATAAAATAATAAATATAAACTTTATGAGTAATGAAATGTTGAAAACAATACAAACTCAGTTTATGTTTCATTTTCAGCACGTTACAAGACAAAGGTCCGTTCTGCGTCGAGTTAATTTCATGTTCAGCTCAAAACAAGTTCGTCTTCGGCTGCAGGAAACAGCAGCAGAACAAACGTGAAAGTTCATGGATTCAGAAACAACTTCAAGACGAGTGCACAAAGAATCTGTTGTTTTTTACATATTTATATGAATGTATTGAATTGGTCTTGGAGCAGTCCGTCCGTCACAGCTGCCACATGTTCAACAAAACATCTGGAATAAATCTTCATGACCTCATGTTCAGCGCCTCCTCACTTTACTTTCAAAATAGCTTTTGCTGCGAAGGAAACTATTTATTTCACCCAGAGAGAAGGTTTGTCTTTTATTTGGCACAATACAGAAATATTGAATTGTACGTGTCCATAAACTTTCTATTCAGGTGTTTCTTGTAGAAATCAACGGCTCGCTCTTCAACTGAGTGACGTGTTGTTTGACAGCAGCACGTCCTGAATGTTGAAATGATGTGAAGAAGTAAAGCAACTTTCAGGGAACGGTTCCCTCGTGCGTGCTTGAAGCTTTAATGGGCTCAGCTGGATCACATGATCACATCTGGACTTACAGCAGCTGGGTCACATGGTCACATCTGGACTTACAGCAGCTGGGTCACATGATCACATCTGGACT